TTTCTCCCGAAAGCGTACCCGCGATGACGATGGCGACCACGATATGGAACCACCGGAACCCCAACCTCAGAGAAAGCGAATGAGGCACCGTGCTAAGAAGCCGGCTGCGACGGCTGCTGCGGAGTACACCAGTGGGCAAGCGTTTGTGCGAGAACGCGGATCGGAATCTGAGATGGATTTCGACGAGGATTTTTAAAGGGGGACTCTGATGAGTCAGGTCAGGAGTATCCCCAGATTGCTATGTTATCACTGACGGAAAACAACAAAAAAAATATGAAAAGAAAAAGGCAGGAAGGGAGAGCGTCCCATCCGGAGAAAAAACAGAAAATTTTGGAGGAACCTATTCATGGTCCTCGACCTATCGTTAATCAGTTCCTTTGTTTTGCGGAAAAATGTTTACCCTGTAAGGTGTTGTTGGATACTGGTGCAACTGGTCCTGTTTTGTCCGCTGTTTTTGTTGATAGTTTTGAGGTCCCGAAGGTGAAACGAGACGTCCCGGCCCGGGTATTTGGATTTACGGGAGAAGTTATGAAGGGCACGGGACACGCCTTTACACAACCATTAATTATAATGTCAAGGGGGCATCAAACACAGTTGTCATTCGAGATTGCCCCTCTCCCACTTGGCATCGATGCAATATTACCGAACTGGTGGCTGAAAGAACATAAGCCGGTTATAGGGGCAAATGGGGAAGTTTCCTACGATGGTGCGAACTGCAAGAGTCGATGCTTCACTGACAAGGAACCTCAAATAGAAATGGACGAGGGCGTACTGGACGATCCGGAGGCCCAATTCATCGGTAGCATTTGTCTCTTGGAAGATGAATCGGTTAACCTCCGTGAGACTCTTCCCTCTTGGCTCCATGGGTTCCTTAAAGTCTTCCTACCATCGGAAGCAGACAAATTACCACCGCATCGATCCTACGACCATGCGATAGATCTTGAACCAGGTAAACAGCCACCATGGGGACCCGTCTACTCCCTATCCGAAGTCGAGCTGAAGGTGCTTCGGGAATACCTGGACAAAATGTTGCGATTGGGAAAGATTAGGCCGAGCAAATCCCCGGCAGGAGCCCCAATCCTATTTGTGAAGAAGAAGGACGGTAGTCTGCGACTTTGCGTTGACTACCGTGGACTTAACCGTGTGTCCATTAAGAATAGGTATCCGCTACCACTTATGGACGAACTACGAGATCGAGTAGCAGGCGCGGTTATCTTCTCAAAGATCGACCTGAAGGAAGGTTATAACCTCATCAGGATTAAAGACGGCGACGAGTGGAAGACAGCCTTCCGTACGCGGTATGGACATTTTGAGTACCTCGTCATGCCTTTTGGGCTGGCAAATGCGCCGGCGACCTTCCAGAACATGATGAATGATGCGCTGAGGGAGTTCTTGGATCAAGGGGTAGTAGTATACCTTGATGACATCCTAATATATAGCAAGTCTCGAGAGGAGCACAGAGAGTTGGTTGGCAAAGTCCTTAGTAGGCTACAAGAATACAATCTAGTCGCCAACCCGAAGAAATCGTTCTTCGAGCTCACCGAAATCGAGTTCCTTGGATACATCCTTGCCCCAGCAGGCGTCACCATGGCACTGGATAAGGTCATGTCTGTTACGAATTGGCAAGCCCCGTGCAGCGTTAAGGAAGTACAGATCTTCATGGGCTTTGCCAACTTCTACAGAAGGTTCATCCACAATTTCTCCGGGGTCTGTAAACCCATTACCGATTGTCTTAGGGGTGATGCTAAGAACTTCGTCTGGTCTATGACGGCCCAAGCAGCCTTCGAAAAACTCAAAACCCTGTTTACGTCTGCGCCGATCTTGGTACACTTCTCTCCAGATCGCCAGACTATCGTGGAAACGGACGCAAGTGATTTTGCTATCGCCGCAATCTTATCCCAGGTTATTAACGGAAAGACTCACCCTGTTGCCTTTTATTCTCGAAAGCTTAACCCAGCAGAACTCAATTACGACGTCTGGGATAAGGAGATGCTAGGAATTGTGTCAGCCTTCAAGCAATGGCGGCACTACCTCGAAGGACCTAGCCGAACGGTTCTCGTCTATACAGATCACAAGAACTTGGAATATTTTTCAACAACCAAGGTTCTTAACCGACGACAGGCAAGGTGGGCTGAGTCTTTGGCGGAATTTGACTTCAAAATTATTTACCGCCCGGGAACCAAGAATGGGAAGGCAGATGCACTATCGCGACGGCCGGAGTACCGTCCTGAAGGGGGAGGCACGCTTGGGAAACAGCCGATAGACAGGTTCTTTAAGCCCGGACAGTTGGCGGAGGAAGAGTTTGTGGTATCAGCGGTGTCGCTTGCCTCCAAGGGGGTGATTGACTGGTCTAAGAACTTTCTGGATCATGTCAGGCAGGCGGCATCGGGAGACCCGACATGGGTAGGATTGAAAGAGAGAGTTGAGCAAGGGGAGAAGCTGGGGGAATTGAAGGATATTGCTGAGAAAGACGGGCTACTCTTCTATAAGAACCGACTCTACATTCCGGCAGACGACCGCATCAAGATCCGAATTGCACAGTCAGAACACGATTCGAAGGTGGCAGGACACTTTGGACAAGATAAAACTTTGGAACTCATCACGCGCAACTTCTATTGGCCAAAAATGAACGAGTGGATTGATGATTATGTTCGGTCATGTGATGAGTGCCAACGCAACAAACCCAGCCGCCATAAGAAATACGGTGCGCTTCTACCACTGTCCACGCCACATGCTGTCTGGCAATCAATATCAATGGACTTTATTGTGCAGTTACCGGAATCAAAGGGATACAACCAAATTTGGGTAGTAGTCGATAGGTTCTCGAAGATGTCGCACTTCATCCCCCTAGTAGCAGAAACGACCGCGCAGGATTTAGCGAAAATATTCCTCGGTCAAATCTGGCGACTCCATGGGCTGCCTCTCGATATAGTTTCCGACAGGGACGCCAAATTCACCTCAAGCTTTTGGGCATCCCTTATGGAATTATTGGACGTGAGGATAAGAATGAGTACGGCTTTCCACCCTCAGACCGATGGGCAAACAGAGCGAGTCAACCAAACCCTCGAGCACTACTTACGAGCGTTCTGCAACTACGAGCAAGATGATTGGGCAGAGCTACTCCCGTTGGCGGAGTATGCTTACAACAACTCGGTTACCACCGCCACGGGTCAATCTCCGTTTTATACCAATTACGGTTATAACCCAAGAACCAACTGGCCAACAGAAGCCGAAGTGGTCAACCCAACTAGTGACCTGTATGCTCACTTCATCCGAGGGGTTCATGATTCTGCTCTCGCTCGCTTAATAGACACCAGGGAGAAGATGGGGAAATACTATGATCGAAAAAGGGACGAACCGCCTAACTTCAAGGTGGGAGACATGGTTATGCTCAATGCGACCAATATCAAGACACGTCGCTCCACCAAGAAACTCGATCACAAGAAACTCGGCCCGTTCAAAATCATCCGACTAGCCGGGAAACGAGCCTGCGAACTGGAACTGCCGCCACAAGTCAAAATCCATAATGTGTTCCATATTGAACTCTTGGAACGGTATCGGCAGAGCAGTATCCCAGGCCGAGAACAACGTCCCCCAACTCCCGAAGAGGTCGATAAGGAAGGAGAGGTGCTGTACGAAGTGGAAAGTATCGTGGGGAGCCGGAAAAGCAGAAGAGGATTAGTGGAATACCTGGTGAAATGGCGGGGCTATTCGATGAGTGACTGTACGTATCAAGTCATGGACGCTATGGATGAGGAAGTACTTGACCTTGTCCGCGACTTCCATCGAAGGAACCCCAAGGCCGTGAAGGACCAACGCCTGAGACTATAGAGGTACCCTACGGGGCTAAGTCCTTCCCCTCCACAGACACCGCGGGTGATGTGTGGAGCAGGTTTACTGGAACCATAGTCTGTCAGAAGATGTCCCGAGACGTGACACCCTGGAAGGGGGGTAAGCTGTTACGGGCATGCCAAGCATTTACGGGAGTAAGAAGAAAGGCTAGTAGATACCCTCTGATACTAATGGCAACACCACTATCAACTCCGGTTCGCACCCACGAGGTGCGGTGCGATCGATATGCGACCAAATGCGGAGTTGCGGTTTTCCTAGTTAAAAAATACGTTTTCGACCCCAATAATAACCCCCGGAGCGTCAAACCGCCGGAGGGGTGTGTTTTGGTACCGGTGGATATATGAGGGACAGCTGGAATCAATCGGATCGAAGATCGGACCACCCGGAGCGAATCGGCGCAAGCTACCAGCCGACCGAGTACCTATCGGCGGTACCTGTGGGCATGAGAGGACTCTGCTATGTGGGAATGCGATGTGGGAAGAGGCCTGAGTAGGTAGCCTTGCCGTCCGAGACCTCCGAATAGCCGACGCTGACGATTATCCACCAGACGGCCGATGGAGAAGAAACATCGACAGGGAAACGTGCATTAGAGGGGATAAATAGGTTGAGGGGTTTCAGCGGGTTTAGGAGTTTGGGTTACGGACTTAGGAGTTAAATGTTCTTGGTTGTTTTTCAGGGTCTCGGGCAGGCCCCGAGTGTATGCTGTATTATTAGAAGACTGGGTCCTCGAGACATAAGCGAGGGATATAAATACTGTGTCATTCACTGACTAGCCAAACCATCATCGGCGAAATCAGAGTCTTAACAATATAAATCGTTGATACGCGAGTTACAACTTTATTTGACTATACTTTTGAAAAATACTTTACTCTATCGTGACTTCGAACTCTACCTGAACTATTACGTCGGAGACGGTCGAATTCTATACGCTAACTCTAGTGAATCTTTGTTGATAACGTAGCTCGCGGGGCCCGTATCGGATCAAGGAGAATCATACTCGACGTTGACTGAAGAGACCTTGGAGACTTCTACCTTTGTAGCTGTTAGCCGAACTCTGAGCTCTGCGTAGTGTACTCTTGAGGTCTGGTACGCATCCCTCACAAGAACCAAAGGATCTCTGATCTTAGTAGTGCCCAAAGCCATTAGGTATGTTGAAAAGACAAAGAGAAACAAGTTCAGAACCCGCTGTTAAGCAAAGAAGGTTGGAACAGAGGCTTCCCTCCTTACCAGTACATGGAAAAAGACCTATACTGAAGGCAGGACTGTCATGGACAGTCAAAGGAAAGGATGAAGGCGCCCAAGGGTCTTTCCTGTTTGACACCGGTTGTACAGGAGCAATCCTCAACCAGAGTTTTGTCAGGAAGCATGGAATTCCTTTAGTGCGGCGGGATCAACCTCTGACAATGTTTGATGCTCAAGGAGATGTCATGATGGGAGGAGGCGAGTATTACACTCACCCGGTCCGCTTGATTATGGGAGATCATAAAGAGACACTCCGATGGGAAGTGGCTACTTTGGAAGAAGGAATGACCGGTTACCTGCCAATTAGTTGGGCGAGGAAGCATAACCCGGACATCAATTGGGAACTCAACACCATGAGCTGGATGTGAGGGATGCGTACCAGACCACAAGAGTACACTACGCAGAGCTCAGAGTTCGGCTAACAACTAAGAAGGTAGAAGTCTCCAAGGTCTCTTCAGTCAACGTCGAGTATGATTCTCCTTGATCCGATACGGGCCCCGCGAGCTACGTTATCAACAAAGATTCACTAGAGTTAGCGTATAGAATTCGACCGTCTTCGACGTAATAGTTCAGGTAGAGTTCGAAGTCACGATAGAGTAGAGTAATTCCAAAAGTATAGTCAAAATAAAGTTGTAACTCGCGTATCAACGATTTATATTGTTAAGACTCTGATTTCGCCGATGATGGTTTGGCTAGTCAGTGAATGACACAGTATTTATATCCCTTGCTTATGTCTCGAGGACCCAATCTACTAATAATACAGAATACACTCGGGGCATGCCCGAGACCCTGAAAAACAACCAAGAACATTTAACTCCTAAGTCCGTAACCCAAACTCCTAAATCCGCTAAAACCCCTCAACCTATTTATCCACTCTAATGCACGTTTCCCTGTCGATGTTTCTTCTCTATCGGCCGTCTGGTGGATAATCGTCAGCGTCGGCTATTCGGAGGTCTCGGACGGCAAGGCTACCTACTCAGGCCTCTTCCCACATCGCTTTCCCACATAGCAGAGTCCTCTCATGCCCACAGGTACCGCCGATAGGTACTCGGTCGGCTGGCAGCTTGCGCCGATTCGCTCCGAGCGGTCCGATCTTCGATCCGATTGATTCCAGCTGTCCCTCATATATCCACCGGTCCAAAAGCACTCCCCTCCGGCAGTTTGATGCTCCGGGGGTTATTATTGGGGTCGAAAACGTGTTTTTTAACTAGGAAAACCGCAACTCCGCATTGAGTGGCATATCGATCGCACCACACCTCGTGGGTGCGAACCGGAGTTGATAGTGGTATTGCTATTAGTATCAAAGGGTATTAGAGTATCTACTAGCCTTTCTCTCACTCCCGTAAATGCTTGGCATGCCCGTAACAGCTTACCCCCCTTCCAGGGTGTCACGTCTCAGGACATCTTCTGACAGACTATGGTTCCAGTAAACCTGCTCCACATATCACCCGCGGTGTCTGTGGAGGGGAAGGACTTAGCCCCGTAGGGTACCTCTATAGTCTCAGGCGTTGGTCCTTCACGGCCTTGGGGTTCCTTCGATGGAAGTCGCGGACAAGGTCAAGTACTTCCTCATCCATAGCGTCCATGACTTGATACGTACAGTCACTCATCGAATAGCCCCGCCATTTCACCAGGTATTCCACTAATCCTCTTCTGCTTTTCCGGCTCCCTACGATACTTTCCACTTCGTACAGCACCTCTCCTTCCTTATCGACCTCTTCGGGAGTTGGGGGACGTTGTTCTCGGCCTGGGATACTGCTCTGCCGATACCGTTCCAAGAGTTCAATATGGAACACATTATGGATTTTGACTTGTGGCGGCAGTTCCAGTTCGCAGGCTCGTTTCCCGGCTAGTCGGATGATTTTGAACGGGCCGAGTTTCTTGTGATCGAGTTTCTTGGTGGAGCGACGTGTCTTGATATTGGTCGCATTGAGCATAACCATGTCTCCCACCTTGAAGTTAGGCGGTTCGTCCCTTTTTCGATCATAGTATTTCCCCATCTTCTCCCTGGTGTCTATTAAGCGAGCGAGAGCAGAATCATGAACCCCTCGGATGAAGTGAGCATACAGGTCACTAGTTGGGTTGACCACTTCGGCTTCTGTTGGCCAGTTGGTTCTTGGGTTATAACCGTAATTGGTATAAAACGGAGATTGACCCGTGGCGGTGGTAACCGAGTTGTTGTAAGCATACTCCGCCAACGGGAGTAGCTCTGCCAATCATCTTGCTCGTAGTTGCAGAACGCTCGTAAGTAATGCTCGAGGGTTTGGTTGACTCGCTCTGTTTGCCCATCGGTCTGAGGGTGGAAAGCCGTACTCATTCTTATCCTCACATCCAATAATTCCATAAGGGATGCCCAAAAGCTTGAAGTAAACTTGGCGTCCCTGTCGGAAACTATATCAAGAGGCAGCCCATGGAGTCGCCAGATTTGACCGAGGAATATCTTCGCTAAATCCTGCGCGGTCGTTTCTGCTACTAGGGGGATGAAGTGCGACATCTTCGAGAACCTATCGACTACTACCCAAATTTGGTTGTATCCCTTCGATTCCGGTAACTGCACAACGAAGTCCATTGATATCGATTGCCAGACGGAATGTGGTGTGGACAATGGTAGAAGCGCACCGTACTTCTTATGGCGGCTGGGTTTGTTGCGCTGGCACTCGTCACATGACCGAACGTAATCATCAATCCACTCGTTCATTTTTGGCCAGTAGAAGTTACGCGTGATGAGTTCCAGTGTCTTGTCTTGTCCAAAGTGTCCTGCCACTTTCGAATCGTGTTCTGCCTGTGCGATTCGGATCTTGATACGGTCGTCTGCCGGAATGTAGAGTCGATTCTTATAGAAGAGTAGCCCGTCTTTCTCAGCGATATCCTTCATTTCCCCCAGCTTCTCTCCCTGCTCAACTCTCTCTTTCAATCCTACCCATATCGGGTCTCCCGATGCCGCCTGCCTGACGTGATCCAGGAAATTCTTAGACCAGTCAATCACCCCCTTGGAGGCAAGCGACACCGCTGATACCACAAACTCTTCCTCCGCTAACTGTCCGGGCTTAAAGAACTTGTCTATCGGCTGTTTCCCAAGCGTGCCTCCCCCTTCAGGACGGTACTCCGGCCGTCGCGATAGTGCATCTGCCTTCCCATTTTTGGTTCCCGGGCGGTAAATAATCTTGAAGTCAAATTCCGCCAAAGACTCAGCCCACCTTGCCTGTCGTCGGTTAAGAACCTTGGTTGTTGAAAAATATTCCAAGTTCTTGTGATCCGTATATACGAGAACCGTTCGGCTAGGTCCTTCGAGGTAGTGACGCCATTGCTTGAAGGCTGACACAATTCCCAACATCTCCTTATCCCAGACGTCGTAGTTGAGTTCCGCTGGGTTAAGTTTTCGAGAATAGAAGGCAACAGGGTGAGTCTTTCTGTCAATAACCTGGGATAAAATTGCGGCGATAGCAAAATCACTTGCGTCCGTTTCCACGATAGTCTGGCGATCTGGAGAGAAGTGTACCAAGATCGGCGCAGACGTAAACAGGGTTTTGAGTTTTTCGAAGGCTGCTTGGGCCGTCATAGACCAGACAAAGTTCTTAGCATCACCCCTGAGACAATCGGTAATGGGTTTACAGACCCCGGAGAAATTGTGGATAAACCTTCTGTAGAAGTTGGCAAAGCCCATGAAGATCTGTACTTCCTTAACGCTACGCAGGGCTTGCCAATTCGTAACAGACATAACCTTATCCAGTGCCATGGTGACGCCTGCTGGGGCAAGGATGTATCCGAGGAACTCGATTTCGGTGAGCTCGAAGAACGATTTCTTCGGGTTGGCGACCAGGTTGTATTCTTGTAGCCTGCTAAGTACTTTGCCGACCAGCTCCCTGTGTTCCTCTCGGGACTTGTTATATATTAGGATATCATCAAGGTATACTACTACCCCTTGATCCAAAAATTCCCTCAGCGCATCATTCATCATGTTCTGGAAGGTCGCCGGCGCATTTGCCAGCCCAAAAGGCATGACGAGGTACTCAAAATGCCCGTACCGCGTACGAAAGGCTGTCTTCCACTCGTCGCCGTCTTTGATCCTGATGAGGTTGTAACCTTCCTTCAGGTCAATCTTTGAGAAGATAACCGCGCCTGCCACTCGATCTCGTAGTTCGTCCATAAGTGGTAACGGATACCTGTTCTTAATGGACACGCGGTTAAGTCCACGGTAGTCAACGCAAAGTCGTAGACTACCGTCCTTCTTCTTCACAAATAGAATTGGGGCTCCTGCCGGGGATTTGCTCGGCCTAATCTTTCCCAATCGCAACATTTTATCCAGGTACTCCCGAAGCACCTTCAGCTCGACTTCGGATAGGGAGTAGACGGGTCCCCATGGTGGCTGTTTACCTGGTTCAAGATCTATCGCATGGTCGTAGGATCGATGCGGTGGTAGTTTGTCTGCTTCCGATGGTAGGAAGACTTTAAGGAACCCATGGAGCCAAGAGGGAAGAGTCTCGCGGAGGTTGATCGATTCATCTTCCAAAAGACAAATACTACCGATGAATTGGGCCTCCGGATCGTCCAATACCCCCTCGTCCATCTCTATTTGAGGTTCCTTGTCAGTGAAGCATCGACTCTTACAGTTCTCGCCATCGTAGGAAACTTCCCCATTTGCCCCTATAACCGGCTTGTGTTCTTTCAACCACCAGTTCGGTAATATTGCATCAATGCCAAGTGGGAGAGGGGCGATCTCGAATGACAACTGTGTTTGATGCCCCCTTGACATTATAATTAATGGTTGTGTAAAGGCGTGTCCCGTGCCCTTCATAACTTCTCCCGTAAATCCAAATACCCGGGCCGGGACGTCTCGTTTCACCTTCGGGACCTCAAAACTATCAACAAAAACAGCAGACAAAACAGGACCAGTTGCACCAGTATCCAACAACACCTTACAAGGTAAACATTTTTCCGCAAAACAAAGGAACTGATTAACAATAGGTCGAGGACCATGAATAGGTTCCTCCAAAATTTTCTGTTTTTTCTCCGGTTGGGACGCTCTCCCTTCCTGTCTTTTTCTTTTCATATTTTTTTTATTGTTTTCCGTCAGTGATAACATAGCAATCTGGGGATACTCCTGACCTGACTCATCAGAGTCCCCTTTTAAAAATCCTCATCGAAATCCATCTCAGATTCCGATCCGCGTTCTCGCACAAACGCTTGCCCACTGGTGTACTCCGCAGCAGCCGTCGCAGCCGGCTTCTTAGCACGGTGCCTCATTCGCTTTTTCTGAGGTTGGGGTTCCGGTGGTTCCATATTGTGGTCGCCATCGTCATCGCGGGTACGCTTTCGGGAGAAAGAGGAGATAGATGCACTGCTGTTAGCATCTGAACGACACCACTTC